TATATATATATACACATAGATATTAATATAGATATAGATGGCTCCCCCCCAAGATCTGCAGCAGTGGCGGCTGTTGGGGGCGTGGGGCCCGAAACACTGTATTGCTCAACAAATTCCACAACTGCACAATTCAAACTTCACGAACCACTGCAATGCTCACAGAATCTCCCAAATTAAAAGCTTCTGGCAACTATGGCCAGGGCTGAGCCAGCTTCGCAAACAAAATTTGAACTTTTGGACGTTATGAGCATTGCAGTGTTCATCAGTTTTGAGGTTGGAAATGTTGGGATTTTTTCCCAGCATTGCAGTGTTTCGAACTGCACTCCGCGCCCTCAACAACCACCACTGCTGCAGATCTTAGGAGGAACATATACACATCTATATATATATATNNNNATGTATATACATACACTTACATATACGTAAATGAATGTGTATATTTATATACATATATGTCTATTACAATTTCTCGAGTTTTGTTGTCTTATACATCATCGTGCAGATCCAAGTGGATGTAGGCATGTTTGTGCTTAGGTAGGCAATTCCGTAGGCAGGTAGGTAGGTAGGTAGGTAGGTAGGTAGGTAGGTAGGAAGGTAGGTACGTGTATATGCAGGATACAGGCGCACAGGCAGACAGACAGAAAGCGAGACAGAGCATCCGCCGGAAGAAGAGGGGGGGTCAGGAGAAATCCACACCTGTCGACTTGGTGACCAAGTACGACCGACAAGTGGAAGAACTTGTCCTGAAGCGACTGAGGCCTCTGCGTCTTTAGCCTTGCCCAAGGTGTTGCCGTTTCCATTCTCTCTTCGGGCTGCAGGACCGCTGCACCCGAGTTCCGTGTCCTTGCCGAAGAGACGGCCAACAAAGAGGAGCCACACGGCCAACTCAGCTTGTTTCTGTGGGTTTGATCTCGTAACCTCGTCTGAATAGGCATTGACAGATGCGCCTACATGGATCGTTGATCCAATCGACGGCACCACCAACTTCATCCACCGACAGGCCCGGCGCTGGGCGCTGGGCTCTCGCGCGTTGCTTGAGCTCGAAGACTGAGGCCGAGTGCTGCGTTCTTATCGGTCTGGCGGTGCAGAAGCGGGCGGTGCTTGGTGTTTGCTTCATCCCGAAGTTGGATGAGAGCCTTGTTTAAGTTTAGTTAAGGTGCCCCAGTAGTACATCCCGAGATACGATGGAAGATAGCAGTTAATGGCCTGAGTGCCAGGTTGTACACGGCCGTCAGGGGTCGTGGCGCATACTGCAATGGACGACGCATCGTGTCTAGTGGCTGCAAGGACTGGGTGGGTCAATGGAGACTGTTGTTTGCATGTTGGTGCACCCAAGCATTGACTGAAAATGCAGGAACTTACACGTGCGTTGGTCAATTTGCACATGCCTTCATATTCCCGCGGGCCCAAAGTGGTGGACCGAATTTTGGGCCACCCGGCGAGAACAGAGTTTGCTGCACCAATTACGTGATAGAATCGAAACGAAAATGCATCTGCATGTGCATTGCAGTGTACGTCGGTGTACGTCCGCTCGCTTCGGAGATCTTTTGCTAGGTTGGGAGTGCCCCAAGTTCTTGGTCCGCAAACGCCGCCAACGTTGCTCCTGCTCTTGAGGCATCAGCCGCGACTTGTTGGCCCATCCAATCAGGGCCATGCGCTGCGGTGGCTCTGCGGGAGTTGATATGATGCACGTGGCACGGGGCCGTCTGGACGTGTATTTCGAGGCCGGCCAGACCTCTTCTTGCGAGTTGCGGTGCGCTGCGGTTGCTGCATTTTTCCCACCGAGCAAGGTGGGCATCTATCCGTGGGATGTTTGTGCTGGTCAAGTCATCGTGGAAGAAGCTGGTGGTGTTTGCTGTGACACCCTTGGTGGTCCCTTTGACTTGGCCTCCCGCTTTTTGGCTAAGAAGCCAACAGTTGGTACTTGCTGCTGTGCCTTCACGACTATGTCGGTAGTTTGAGTGGGTGTAGGAGCGATGTCAGGATTACGCCGGTAGTGGAGATGCAGATCGCGAGGGTATTAAGTATCCTACTATAATAATGTGAAAGGAAAAGCTATTGTCTGCTTTGTTTTCAGCAGGAGCTGCTTTTTTACTTCTGCTGATGCTGCCTTTGCAGCTGCGACGACGGCAGCGACTGCTGTCGGTTCTGTTGATTCTGCTGCGAAGGCTGCTGCTACGACTGCACACCGACAACTTTTGCGACAGCTGGCGTGACGATTGCATTCGAGTATCGTTTACTATCGCACATGCTGCTGACAGCGTTTGTTTCAGCATTCGTGATGTTCGTTGGTATTCGGGGGAAACCTTCAACTTAACAAATGCCGCTGATCATAGTGGCCTAGGCCAGCCACAGGCCCTTTCTTGTTCTAGTCAGCATTGCCAATCAGAACTAAGTGAGGCGAACTGCTGAGTTGCTTGCATTTGCTCAGTGATCTGTGCTCGTTCTCATGCAATTGTTGCTTGCGCTGTGTTTCTGCGCAGCTCAGCCAAGTTTTCGCATCATTACTTCTTTACAGTATTCTCCCTATCGTCTGCATAATCACACCAATGGCGAAACTAGTGAGTAGTGCTTCTCGGATTGTGGTACAGATCATGGAAACATCGACGCCGACTTCTATTCCGCTTGGTGTTTGTTCAACTGGGAAGACGGCGGCGAGGGTTGGTGCTGGTCAACATTACTCAAACCGAACCAGATTTCATGCTTGTTCACGAGGTCGAGTGCTGGCTGCCTCATCACCTGAGCTCGTTGCCCAGCTGGCTGTGCACCTGAAGAAGCACCGCACCTCACTTCCATCAGTAGGCCTTTTCGTGTTAGAGGCATCGTCGAAACGCGTTGATGTGGTTAATTTGTTGTGGCACGAACTCACGAAGTACTCGTCCACCCTCCAAGGCTACAGCTCAGTGGAAGCAGACGACTACAACGCTGACGACACAGAAAAAGAGCCAAAGAGACCCCGGATATAAGCCGCCGGAGCTTCGTGGACCTGTGCGGCAGCCGCGATGTAAAAATTGCAGCCGGCTGCGAGCTGTGCGTTGCTGTCGTGGCAGTGCTTATGTGAGGAACTTGTCACATGCCCTTGCAGCGAGGTCGGCACTCTAGGAGTCCCGGAGTCGGGATTCTTGGCTGCGAGGCCTCGGGAAGACGCTGTTCTTGGGAGTCACGCGGGTGTTCGGACAAGTTCTTAACGTGTGTCTACGCTCGTTGGACAAACTGCACCCGTTGATGTTTCGGATCGAGAACTATACATCCTCTTTTGCCGTGCACATTCCGACAGTGTGCCTCGTCTGCATTTGCATCGAAGCACACTTGCGCCATTTGTTTCGAGAGCTGTCGGATTGTTGCTTGATGTGTTGAGGTTTCTACAGCCATGAGGTCGCGGCCCAAGCCCAAGTCTACGACTCTGCAATGGAGATGTTATGGTTTCCGCGAAGGTTCTCCGTGTGGCTGATAGCCTTCTGCCTCAGCAAAGCTTGGAGCTCGGTTGGTGGCTCTCTCGGCCCGAGGGCTCAACGAGCAGTTCATGGCCGTGAAGTGGTCCCATCATGTCTTAGCTAATTAGTCCGTCGAGCGCAGATTCCGTGATTTCTTCGCTCTTGGCATCGGCAACAACAGCACTTTCAACATGGGAAAATCCATGGAGCCCCGAAGCAATAAAGAAACACTCCCAACATTCTCTCAGGCAGCACCAGTGCAAGATGTCCCGTCTCAACCATGGCCGGAGGACGTTGCGAATCGCTGTGGTGAGCGTTCCCTGGTTGCGAGCTAACCACAGGTACTTGTCCCTTGAGCCTCTGTTTCACCGCAGCCGTCTCCAGCCGTGCGTGACCACGGACATATCCTGGGTGAGCCCAGCCGCACCTGCACAGAACAGGACGCTCGGCATACATTAGAAGCTTGGTAACGGAAGGCTTCAGCCAAAGTCACCCACGGGCCTGCGTTTGTAAACGCTTGTGGCAGGAGAGATGGCTCAGGGAAGGACGCCTTTCCGGTCGCTGTGTCATGCTAGCAATCAGCTGCAAGACTTCGTCATGTCGACAGCACAGAATCTTTGGGGTTTCCTCGGAGGTTTGTATTGGGAGCTGGCCTTCTGCTTCTTTGCCAACAGCTCACCTTCACAGGGACACCAGGTCTGCCGTCAGAGATGAAACTACAGCAGCCTGATGCTTTCAGTTTTGCAACGAGCAGGCGCAAAGAGGCAGACGGCACTTCGACGAAATGCAGAGACTGAAAGTGCTGTGATCACCGAGTCGCAACCCGGCACGAATCTCTCACAAGATATGTGCGGCACATGTTAACAAAAACTTGCTGCTTACTTGCTGCCGAGTGAACAGCTGCGGGCGGAGAAGAAGGCAGCGACCCTCGAGGCAATTGAGCAGGCTGCGCAGCAGGACGGGGACACTAGGGGACTACTCGTGTGAGTAATGCATAAGAAGTAGCTTTGGTCTATACCTCCAGGATGCGCCAATGGGCGAAGACTTGGGCCACATGTCTGACAGGGAGTCGAACGGAAGCTTTGTGGTGTCAGATTGCACCATGCTGAGGAAACTTTTGGGTGAATCAGCCTGGCCAGCTGTCCTTCGAAGTCCAGTTCAATCGTGGCGACAAGGTGAAGGACCTGAGGACGGTCATCGAGAAGGCCTTAACGGGAGTCTCTGAGACTCTACTGTAAGCCTTTCCCCAAAGTCATTTGCACAGCGGATGCAGGTCACCGGGATCCCTCCGGATGCGCAGGAGATCCGTGCGGGCGGAGACCTTCTCTGGAGCCTGGCGCTTCTGTTCCCTTTACGGACAGTCGAGCTTGCATGCACCACTCCTGTTGCCCAGAAGACGGCGTCTTCCTCGAGGGCTTGGACCTTTCCGCTTGAAGCCTCAGGGAGTGCTCCGTTCCTGCAGCAGTGAAAGCAGGTTTTGGGTGGCCGCGCTTGCCTAGGACATTTGGGTCATGGACGACCGGGATGACTCCCCAGAGCGAGGCGAGTGGAACCCCGATCCGGAGGAGGACCAAAGCACTGGAGTGGTTTCACGGCATTGAACAGTGTGAAGCACGAGCTGGTAGAGTTACGGGAATGCAGGACATGGATCCTCTCTCCAATCCTTTGAAGAGCCATGAAAGCAAGAAGTGAGTGAGAGTAAGATGCACGTTGACTGGCTAAGGCTGCTAAGGCGCCTCGATGCGCCCCAGCAAGAAACACATTTCCTGTGGTTGTAACAAGGATTGCCATTTATCTCTTCAGTGGCATCATTGGCATCTTCTGGGTGCCATACCTTGAATACGCGAAGTTGTCTCAATTTCAACACAGAGGGATAGAAAAGAGAAGGTAAAGCGACATGCCATGCAGGTGACACAGGTTCTCGGCGTCAATCCGTACGGCAACTGGCCAGAAGGTCCTCGTGCGAACTGGGCTGAGGCATGGCCTCGTGGGGTCGTCTTGCCTCTCAGAAGATGCCCAGAATCTCCACGTGGCAAGGTGCCGGAAGATCTCCGACCGGGTGCCGAGCCCTACCAGTGGCCTGGCTCAGCTGCAAGTGGCAAGCAGAGAACTGCATCCCAGGATGCAGGAGGAGTGAACGTTCTGGACCTGCCCAGGCGACCTCAAGCTCTGGATGTTGACGAGAAGACGCAGAAGCAGCTTCTGGAGCAGCGACTGCCCAGCAAGCAATTGAAGTGATTGTCGCCGACTTGCAAGTCCTGTTCAAAGTCACCAGAACGATGGCTCATCCGTTTGTCTGCGAAGCAAGCCTTTAGGAGTAGTTCGTGGCTCTGGTTATCAGTTCGAAGCCAGCGTTCCGATCATTGGTCCAGTGCGGCATGCCCGTCGCAGTCCGCTGCACCAAGCCGAGCTTTTTGGGGACGGGACGGCTTTCAATTCAAAGACAACATCCCTACTGCGTGTAGCTTTGGTCCTACCCAGGGAACTCGGAGTTTTGATGTAAGAGATAGGTGCCTGCGGCACCCTCTTTCACCTTGTAGGTCCAGGAAGCCGGACAGTCAAAGTTAGACCAGCTCTTACAAGCTGCCGGGCTACACCGACGAAGCTCTCATTCGAGACATTGGCTTGCTGCAGTTTTTCACCGGGATCCCGTGCATGTCAGCATGACACACGGGTGAACCAGACTTCACGTAAAGTGCAAGAGCGCGCAAAAATAGCTTGCCCTGTGATTCTGCACTACGTCTCGGAAAAATCACGTGCAAACTTGCTGCCTGCTCAGGACGAGTGCGATGCTAACGACGACTCGTGCGGTTTGTCGTTGAGGCGCTCAGCTTTCCATGCAGAAGCGCCTCTTCGGCTTCTTTGGACTTCAGCAGGGCTTGGGGCCAATGTCTCGTCTCACAAAGAATGCCAGAGGTTGATTCCAAGCATCCGCCCTGCTTTTGAGCCCGATGGCTGAAGACAATCGCTTTTAGTGATATGAAGCCCCTGCAGGCAGCTTCGCGGTCAGGGCCTGGAGCAGTTGGAGCTCGAGGACTTTCTGGCGGGAGCAGACTTTGACGAGGAGGAGGCTATGGAGGCCCGGCCTCCCTCCTGGCATCCTGCGTCCTGTGGAGAGGGACACGAGGCTGCCGTTTGGGGCAGTGCTCAGCCTTTCAGCTCGTCGTGTGGAGGTGGCGAATCAGACCGGTGGTGAGTAGCGGCTTCCTCAGACAACGTGACGCATGCAGTGAGTGGCCAGTCACCGGTCCTGATGCTAAGTTCATTCTATGCGTATCGTGCGAAGAATGACAAGAACTACGAGGACACGACGCTCGGTAGCAGCTGCTGAAGTTAATTGAAGTTATTTAAATTATTTGAAGGCTAGCACGACTGAGCCCAGCCCAGGAATGTCAACATGGCCAACCTTCCGGGTGTGATGCAGCTTGCTACAAGTTAGATGGTCTTGAGTCTTGACCTGCTGTTGGTACGGATTCATCCGCCGAGGTGGTATCTGCACAGCGAGGTTGTTGGACATTGTCCTCGCAAATTTGGGATTGTCCGCATTCTTCGCTACAAGGTCTGCTTCGGGCTGTGATCTTGTTTGCGGATGCTTGTAACCGTCGTGAGATCACCATGAAGCCGACTCCGGAGCTCGAGCGGACGGGGAATCCCTTCGCGCACCTCTGCGTGCTTCTTACCGAAGTATCCCGGAGCCTCCCCAGAGATGACAGTGCTCCTAAACCGGGCATCTGGGACCGAGGCCATTTTGACAGCGGTGCCTGCACTGGTCCTCAGAACAGCCTGGATGAGTACCAGAAGAGCCTTGGCACACTTCAGGGCTGAGGCAGTCGAACTTACGACTGGATGATGTCGCTCGATCATGAGTCAATGAGGTATGGATATGTTGTCGGCTGTGACCGACCGAATCATGCACATGCTGCTTACAGACAGGCCATGCGCCTGCAGACATTCGCAGAGTTGTTGCTGAGATATCTCGTGAGGCCACCTGGTACAGCTTTCCTGGCGATTGTCCTTCTAAGACCTTCCAGCAAAAAGCCGGCTGCCAGGAGTGGGAAGAAAAAGCATTGGAGTGCTAAAGAGAACTTGGTGAGTAGCAGTGGGGAGGTGTGCATTTGCGGCTGACCCAGCTCTTCGATTCTGTCGCCTTCAGGAGAAGGGGGGACTTTGCAAGCTGCTTGTCAAGATCATTGGAGCGATTCCCAAGGCTTTGAGGCCCTTTGCCACTTGTTCAAGAAGAAAGGTGGACCCTGTGAACGGGCTGTGCATCTCTAGCACAGCAACAGAGTGAGCAGAAAGCCCACGGAAGTGCCACTTAACAACAGTAGCAGGAGCACATAGAAGACGAAAGAGACCAGAATCATGGTGTTGGGCGAAGCTCAGCCAAAGAACTTGGCTGGGAAGCTTGTAATGCAGCGAAGCTCAACACTCGCACGACAAGTCTTGTAGAAGTGGTAGACATTATTCTGTGGCTGTTCTGCCACAACCTGCCAACTAACCGAAGGATTCATGCAGTTTCAGATTTGAGCTGCGCTTTCAAACTAGACCGCCCCTGAACCCTGAACCCAGTCGCGGTAGTCCCTTACATTCGCCTTTTTTATTATATGAAGGCCATGAACTCTAAACTGAGTGCTGATACCCTTAACCCTGTCATGCCAGTTCCAAAGAGCGTAAACCCGAAGTCCGAAGCCCTGTCAGCTAGGCGGGTGGGAGAAAACCCTAACGAGATCCTTGGCTCCCACAGAGAGTTCCGGCATGAGAGCGCCGAGTGAGAGTTCGGCCGAGGCAGGGAGAGCCTTGGTCCAAAACCTGCACCTGGCGACGGGAGTACGCTGGTGAGGCGCCTTGAGCCTTTTGAGCCTTTTTTTTTGGGGTTGGGGCTACATAGGGCTTGGGGTTTATGGTTGGGAGCTTGTTTTGGTCCTTGCGTGACTCGCATGGCTGGGAGATCACGCTGGACGAGCTGACCCACAACTACCACTTCGAAGAGCGCTGCAAGAAGGTTGCGGTCGCAAGTCTCCTCTGCGTGGCATCGCGGTTTATGTGTTCTTGGACAGGGCTTCTACGAGTACAACGAAGCACTGGACTGACAAAGCATGAGCATGCTCTTGTCAGTTCCGCTTTTGCTAATCCCCTTTCGTGAGCAGGACCGCGGTCAGGGCACAAACTACTGGCACACCCGCTCCAGCGAAGCCGTTTGCGCCTGAGCGCTATCCGCTTGCAGAGACATGCAGTGGGACCTTGCGGCTGCAGGTCTGCAACCGCCGGATGAAGTGGCTGAAAGAAGTGCTCCACAAGCTTGTGCCTGAGTTTTCCAACTAATTGATGCAGCATGCGGCTTTGATCCCACCCCGGGTGTTTGGAGATGACAGAGTTCTGACAGGAAAGCTGGCGGCCCACGTCTCCCAGACCCTCCACAGTGCCCGTGCCGGCCTCGGGGCCAGGGCTCCACAAAGTCTGGTCAAGTCACTATAAGTCACTGATGTTTGTATCCAGCGATGGGGCAAGTGCTGAGGTGGGGAGACAAGGACCGCAGCTTGGCACAAACAGGACGACACATGCGGTGGGAGTGGGTTTTGCTCATTGCTCGGGTTCCAACTCGAAGATCCGCCTGAGGCTGACATGAAGCCAAGAGCTGCACCGTCACCGAGTCTGCTTTAACGGGCTCTGCCCGGTCCCACAGGGTGACAAGTCTTCCTGGAAACTAGCTGAGCAGGCAGTGCGTGAGACAAAACGGCAAGTACTCGTTGATGCTTCGGGAATTGGGAAGTACCGGCAAGCGGTGCTCGTGTTCAGCTTGAACGTGCTCTCGTACGAATTGTGTCTTACGGCTCATCCACGTATGTCTGCGCCAGGCCGCCGTCGCCCTCGCAGTCCCAGTCAACTAGCAGGAGTCCTGGTTGTTGTCCACGCTTGGTGGCGGCTGGCGTGAGAAGGTTTATTGTACAAAGAAAGATAAAGAAAGCATACCACTTGCCCACTTGAGGTCCCCGGTCACAGCGTGCCTGCTACTCAGCGATGTCCCTGATGGCTTTTGCATGCATTTCTGGCAAGTCTGTCGGGTTCCGGTACGCCTCCATCCACAGCACTACGGTGTTTCTTCTGACAAGGCTAGGCGTGGCAAAGGATTCGTGGACGAGGACTCTAATTATGAGATCCTGCCGGACAGACGGCGTTCAAGCCCGGTGCCTTGAGAGTCAAAGCCGGATCGCATACAGGAGGAGGAGGATGATGGCTGCGGCGAGCCTCGCCCTGAGCATCTAGCAAAATATGGGCATCGCGGAGTTGCTTGGGTGAACTTGTTGCTCCAGATGATTGTGTAGAAGGTCGCTCGCAAGTATCCAGGCTCAAGAACGGCTATATAGCTCATGCCGACCATCCCACCAGCCACTCCTGTGTGGTGTTGGAAGTGACATCATATAGCTCACAGCAACAATGCACCGCTTTGGCCATGTCTCGTCGCATCATCTTTCCATCGCGCCTCGAGCGGCTCATGGCTGAAGCTGGGCATGGTTGGTGTCCTCACTTACAACATCCACTCTGGAGTTGGCGGCGACGGAGTTTACGATCTTGAGCGCATTGCTGGAGTCGTACGCAGATCTGGAGCTGATGTTGTGTGTTTGCAGGAGGTGCAACGTGGAGAATGTGCTGTCGCCGTGTTGGTCGAGCGAAGCCTTGTGCAGGTTGAAGCGAACGGCGAGGTTCTGCGAGTGCGAAAATGGTCTGTCCCGCATCCTGGCAGCAGAAAGCCGAGCAGCTATCACCATTACATCCCGTTGCATCAGAAGCTTCAACGCCCAATGCGTAGCTAAAGCCATTCAGCATGAGGCATGCTGACAACCAGCCGCAGCAAATCGCAGCCATGTGTGGATTGCCACACTTCGCATTCTCCGCCACCTTGACTGCAACCTTCTCGAAGGACAGCGCGAACTTAAAAAATACCGCATGGCACCCACTTGGAAAGCCGTTGAGCAGGCAGTGCATGCGAGGAACGATACTCACCCGTTAGTCGAGGATTCGCTGCGTGGTGGAGAAGTTCTACAACACTCTGGAGACGGGCGGTACGGACTGTGCATTTTGAGCAGGCTCCAACCATACGACAGTTGTGTGTGTCAGGTCGTGCTTGAAGGAAATGCTGCGGGTCAGGTTCCCAATCATCCGGTCGCGCCAGCTGTCCTTCAACCGTGCGGAGGACCGACTGCTTTCGAGATATGTTTGAGTTATGTCAACGACTCCCTTCTCTGTCCCGGAGGGAAGTCCTGGTGAAACCCTCTTCATGGACCAGGAAGAGCAGCCGCGGGGCGCTCTTGCAGTGCCCTGGAGCATTCAGAAGTTGCCCAAAATCAAGAAAGGTGGACATGCATATGCCTGCAGAGGTGCTCCTGGACATGCAGGAAGAGGATGCTGAGCCGATGTGGGTTGTGAACACGCATCTCTCCCACAGGCCTTCGTTTCTCGAGGCCAAGACATGCAGAAAAAAACATTATCATGTCAGGATTGCGTCTCAGGAGCAGCGACGGCAAGCGGCAGAGGCCATGGGCCATCAAGTAACGCAGCTGCTCGCGCCCTCCCTTTTGCTTGAAAAGGTCCTCCGCTGGATGGACGAACTACGATCCGAAGATCTGCCAGAAAGTGATAGGCAAAATGATGCTGTGAGGTGCTGCAGCGAGGGCATGGCGACTTTGTGATGCCAGGGCAACGTTTCTGCTAGCAGCCGATTTGAATTCACCTTCTTTCTGTCCATACTCTTCCTATTCGGCCGGGTTCTGAGTGTGTTGCTATTGCTTTTATGATTTTATACGTGTGTATGGTGCCACCAGATGCTCCTACCTGTCTGTTTCGTAGTTAGAGGAAAGAATCCTTCGTCATTTGTCCACCATCCCGCACCTCTGAAAATCTCTTCCCGTTCGTGTTGTAGCTTGTTTTCCAATGTTTCTCGCCGGAAGAGCAAAGCAGTGTTCCTTCGGAAGTAGTCTGTCCCGCAAACGAGCACCATTCCCGCAACATCAAGAAGTCAATGAAATCCAAGGAGATGCCAGGGCCAAATTTATGTTTGTTGGCTTTTTGGACTTCCAAAGACACAACTCCAAACTGGTTCTGGCAGAAAACATTGGATTTGGATTTGCCAACAGTGTTGCACTATGTGGCCGTGCATGCTGCATGCGTCCCCCACGGCTGCGCTTCCGCACAGCGGGTCTGCTGGAGATCACGAGGGGGTTTCGATTTGTGGGCAAAGTGTGGCTTTCAAGATGTCTCATCCATCTGCTGTTTATCAGCTGTGGATTGTGACTAGTTCATACATCGTTGGCTTAATAATTTAATAAACAGACTAGTCCACTCAGATTACTCATAATGTGACAATGTTCCATTAACATTCGTCCACAGTCGCATTATCTAGTTAGTTATTGGTTGACCCGTGCTCATTGTTTAATCAACGCTCGGCTCATGCAGGATGGATTTATGCAACCTTCAGTTGATATTTGGAGCACATACAACCATGCTCACTTACTTTTGCATTTGGTGTAGATCTAGCAAGTGTTCAACGTAGAATCTAAGCGTGTTTCGCCGCGAGGTTTTGTTGTTAATCAATCGAACCCGAATACTTGGTCAGTGCTGCTATGCTGATTAGGTAGATAGTCATTCCAGACATAGTAGTTGAGCATTAACCAGCTAATCCTTTCCACCTGCTTTATTGAGAAGGAGACAGCAACCAACATACAGCAAATATATGCTGTATATATACACTGCCCGAACGGTATGTATATGGATATTGGTTCGATGCCACTGAACGATGCATAAAGCACTGGGGTCATGGCCAGGAAGTATTCAACAAGTTCAAACAAGTAGCAAGTCAGCGCCGGGTAAGTGTTCATTCGATTACACAAACTCTGTGGCAACTGTCGAGCATTGTCATGAGATGGAGCTGAATTTGTACACTATGCAGGTACCAACCCTCTTCTTTGTTACAAACATATCGAACCATGTCCAGATCATGTAGCAAACAGCCAGAGGACAACGAGGTCCCAGATTCAACACTGAAGGTCGTAATGGTGTTAGCATGAACAGCAGGTATGTATGTATGTATGTATGTATGTATGTATGCATGTATGTCTGTATGTCTGTATGTCTGTATGTCTGTTTGTCTGTATGTCTGTATGCATGCATATACACGTGTGCTTTGTGTGTGTGTGGGGGGCGCCGTTGAACATGCAGTGAGGACCTCGTTTTCCAATCCGTATTTGGGAATAAAAGCGGGGGATAATGCTGTAAGGTTGTAACATAGCTTAACGACCCCAAAGCTACATAACTAAGCCTAGAACCTCCACGGACAGCTTTTGCACTGCTTCATGTACATGTTTTCATGCGTGTGTGTATGTATCCCTGTCAGGGTGCTGGATAGCAACTGTGCAGGGGCTCCTGAACCGATGGTCGAAGTTTCGTCCACGCAGCACCCGATCTCTTGACAGTGAAACCCCTATGCCAAAGGTGATGACGGTCTATCGAGGGTTCCACCAATCAACAAACTTTCAGACGTGCACTTGCGCGTGCACGTATTGGATCTTTTTGTGTTTTCCTGCGGTCTCAAGCCCTCTGTGCCTGCCTCTCTCTCTCTCTCCCATGCGCGTGTGTGTCTGCTTGTCTGTTCTTGTTGGCATGTCGACAGATGTCCTCGAACAGAGGAGGGGTCGAACGGTCCCTCCTCCTACACCCGCTTTGCTTCAGGCCACATGGGGATAAGCCCACTCAAGCAGTGAAAAGGTGCGATGAAAAAGAGACAGGGACAGAAACAGAGCGAGAAGGAAAGCATATGCTGCAGAACACGAGCAACACCAGGCTAACAAAAATTGTGCTTGTCGAGAAGATGAACAGAGCGACAAGCAGCCTTATTGTCTGAAATCTTTGGTCGTGGCTGGTGGAGAGTGTGCCCCAGACACTGACAAATGCTGCGGTGCACGGCTGCCCTTCGCAGGCAGAATCCCGGGGCATAACACGAGAAAATGTGGTAGCAGCTAGGAGTTGCCACCTGTGCGGCAAGGTCATTGCTGCAGACTCCAGGTGGAAAGACCTTTGGCAGGCCTGTGGAACCACTGTGTCTATCACCGCCTCGCGGGAGTCAAGTTTAGTGTGAGGAGGGTGGTGGCCCGTGTTGCTGCTCAGCCACCTTCCCAGCGAATTGGTGTGGCGGCTTCTTTGGAACCAGGAGCCTGCAATAGCCAACGTTTCTGTTTCAAGACTCGTCGATTTGTGAGGATTGATCACATCTTTGGATTGTGTCTGGAAGATGGACCAATTCCAATGTGTGAAACTGCCCGAGTTGTGCGCGAGACACCTGCGGATGCTTCTTGGAGTAAGAGCTATAATAAGCTGGACAGGAGGATTTGCCCCTTTATGTTCAGCTTGTGCGTCAAGTACTTCCTTTCCGAGGAACTTGCTTCCGACCACTGCGCCGTGTTTGTACAGATGGATTTTGTTGTGGCCCCCGATGTTTGTAGCAAGGAGGAAGTTACTGTCCATCAGCCGCTGGCGGGCTGAGTTCAACGGATAAGTCGCATTCTGCGCGACCAAGCAAAACTTAGTGACTCGATACTGTAGATGGTCCAGCCGTGGCTGGAACATGGACCCATTGAGTGGAATGAATGCTTCTTGCCAAAGTGCAGATGCTTGATCAAAAGAATGGCCGCGCAGTCGGTGGTGTTGACAGGCTTTAGGGGAGGGTCAACGCCTAGAACGATGAACACCGAATCGCAGACTCAAGGTTCACTTTTGGAACGTCAGCGCCCATTCAGCTGCCAGACTTTTCGCAGATGCCAGAAGCCAAGATTGACGCTGAAACCGCACATAGCAGATCAAAGCAGATACGCACGTTGCCTTCGCTCGCTCAGGCACAAGTCGCCTCGACAGGAGGCAACGGTGATGCGGGTTTCGAGGGAATAGGACAAGTGCTTGAGACGGGCTATTCTGTCTCGCTTTTCTTCCGTGTTTTGAGTTGCTTTTCTGGACAGAGCCTCGTTTCTGAAAGCAGGTCAAGTCTTTGCGGCAAGCTGGCTTGCAGCTAAGACCTCTCAGAACATACAGAAACAAGCAGCTAATGGCCGCCTGCGTCTGAGGACGCTTGAAGCACGTTGCCAACCTTTGCTTGCTGAGGCCATGGAGAGGAGTTGCGACCTCAACCGGATATACCGAGAAGACAAGATGCGGAACCGTCTGGCTTCGTACGAAACCTTGATCCCATGCCAAGGTTGTCGTTGGCTCCTGTGCAGGAAGTAGAGCGATCGGCGCCAGACCGACCGCCACTTCCACGGTCACCGTCGACCCTCTCAGGGCTTTTGCAAGTAGCCGGCAGTGATCGGCTCCGCCCTGCTGAGTGGTTGCGGAATCATGTGGTTTCGCATCGCTGTCTGCTGTCTGCTGTCTCGCTCTCGCTCTCTCGCTCTCGCTCTCTCTCGCTCTCTCTCGCTCTCTCGCTGTCTCTTGCTGTTCTTCTTTCCCGAGGCCCCCGGCCATCCACCGGCCACCGCCCCCGAGCGGCGCGCAGCCGCCTTTTGTATCTCCGCGGACTGCCTCGCCCAGAACGGCCTCTCCGAGGCCGTTCCAATGCTTGTGCGGATAGAGAGCAGAGAGCGCCATGTGCGATTCAAGCTGGCGGTACGCCAGTGCCTGCTTCCATCAAAAACTGGATGGCGACACCCTTCGGCGCTTGCCCGCCAGTCCACCCTCCTGCCAGGTTGCCTGGCAACTGGCACCCGCACATGTTGACGGCTTAGAGCCGGAAGTCGGCAGGATTTTCCGTCAAGGATGGACCGTGCCGGCGTTAGCGTCTCCCGATTCCCTAGGCCACAGCAAGGTGCCAACCTCGGTAACGAGAGCAGGAGGGTCGTGCCAAGGAGCGACAGGAGTCCAACCGTGGTGAGCCGCAAACGCATGGACTCTTTCATTTGTGCTCGAGGCTTTTATGGTCAGGTTCCGATGCAACCGCCGCCGCAGATGTACGCATCGGCCTAAGACCCAAGGTTTGACCTTCAATGAATTTATCTTCTTGTCCGAGCCTAGACATCTGCAATGTTGAGCAGGGCGAGCCCATGACTTGCACTTGTTTGTTCATTGTCCCGCAGCTTGGTTTAGAGACGAGTTGGCTAGATCCATTGGCGGCACTAGCCATGGGATCGATGCTTGGAAAACTGTGCGTTGGTTGCTTTGCGGCGTGCTTGGCCTTGACGCCTGGCACCGTATATTATCCTGGATACCGTGATCTCCAAGCCTTCGGCTTTTAGGAAACCGCTGTCCAACTCAGGAACTTGATTTGGGCAACGATGTTTATGCGATTTGTTGGCTGCTTACCTGAACAGGGAAGAGGGGGCCCGCGATCCCAAAGTCCTCGTGGACTTCGTCTGTCCGTCTCTGGCTGTGTCCTCCTGGCCGCTTCCGCAACTGGTGACCGGGTGCTCGTGAAAAGGCTTTCTCCCCACTTGTCAAATGAGGTCTTTTGCCAATGGAGAAGAGGACATGAACCTGTCTCGTGCAATGTCCTTCCCATGTAGTAGTCATTTCTGACTTGCTGAAGTTGACGTCCTAAAGTGTGGCATGTCTTGTCTCGAGGAGAAGAGAGAGCATTTGCCTGGTTGTGATCCAGGTCGCTTGCATGCAAGTTCTCTCTGTTGTATGTGTGTATCTGCATCGATCGCAAGCAGTGGTAATGTCATCGTACACCTGGAAGAGGGCTCTAACTTCCCCGAGAAATGCTGCGAACATGCTAACTGTTCTGTATCGGAGTGGAAATCCGCAAGCCAAATTTGGGGCTATACGGTACTGCGGTATTGTGGGAGAATGGCGTTGCTTGCCTCATGCCCTGCCCCACACGAGTCGAGAGACCGGACGAGAAGGATCCGTCAATCAAGGTCTTGTAGTCTTCGTGCAGGGTGCCGCAGTAGAAGCGCTGTGTGTGGCAAGAGCGCTGAGGGGGCAACGCACAGCATGATTCTTTTTTGAGGCAGCCTGGAGGATATCTCTCTTCTTCTGTCCTTGGGTTTCCATATCCCATTCTGACGAGACTTGGCCATGAGTGCTGTCATGCACCTTTCAGATGTCGTTCGGAATAGGACGCCATGGAGCACGTTTTTTTTGGTCTTTAGAGCTCACTTGAAGATCCCAATGTGATCCACTAAGGACTCTGCGGCCGAGCCCCTCGGCAGAAGGAGGAAGCCAGAGGGAACGTGTCAAGCTGAGACGTCCATGTTCAGGTGGAGAGGCATGCAGCAGAAGATGGAGGGTGTAACCGAGCAGCCGTTGATGGTTCTGGGATGCTTGGTCTACTTCTGTGGTATCTCCCACCCCAGATGGGCAGAGTGCCTCGCACGCTTTTTGGGAAAGCCGTGCGCCCGAGCCGATGCTTCTTGTCCTAGCTCAGGAAATCATACCTCGTTCATGGATGTCATCGTTGCAACCTGCTGCATGCCTGCGTCCGTGCTCATCAAATGCCGGAGCCTTGGGGCAGTGGAAGCGGAAGCCGACTCGTCGTCTCTCCGAGGCCGAACCTACATGGATGCACACCTCTTCGCCATGCCACTGATATCGACAGTATGTCGTTCCTTGCCTTAAGCTAGCAGGAAGCTTCTGCACCGAGATTCATGCTCTGGCCGAGGCTCTGTGGGTCATTTCCCTGTCTACTTCAACAGCGCGGAAGCGGGAGTCTTCAAGGTTGACAAGGAGAAGAACGAGAAAGTCGATCAGGAAGTGCTCCGGCTAGAATACGCGCTGCACATCGCGAAGCAAGCGCCCTCTGTTCTATTGAGGTGGACAAGCACCTCCACAGTGGCGGTTGGCTCTGCTTCTACCCTGAAGGAGCTGCGAGGACCTGCCTCGAGAAGTGTGTTCGCACTGTGAAGTGCGTCAGGTCAGTGCAACAGAACTCCCGACCAGCTCATGCCGTTCCGCTATGGTGGCATGAAGAGACTCGTCTGCAGCAAGGAATGCCGACGACATCGAGGAACCTTAGCACTTGCCTGCGCTGCCTGCTGCCCCGAGGAAGGCGCTGGAATTTGATGCGAGGCTAATATCTGCGGCACAGCCTTGATTATTGTAGTTCCGAGCTACAATAAAGGTTTGACATCGTCTTCGGCTAACGACGACACAAGAGTTTGTGCTGCTCCCCCCAGCAACCACGACATCTGCCGTGAGCCATCCGCCGAGGTAGTATGCCACGGGAATGAAAAGGTCTGGCCGCGGAAGATGAAAGTGGGAGGACTTCCAGGCCCTTGTTGCAGGTACTGGCCGCCCTTGCGAGGTCGTATCCCTTGTGCACGTTGAGTGTCAGGTTCTATTCAAGTCAGCTGCAAGCAGCTTGCGCCAGACGGTGTAAAGGCCAGGGCATCGCAAGTGCTCCTCGCATTTTTCTGTAATGATACTGCCGAGACCGGACTTGTGGTGTTTTCAAACCTGCGGCCGGACATGTTGGTATTGCTTTTGGCACCTGCAGTTCAGATCGATATATGTCTGTCGATGTTCTTCATTCTACACATTGCCGATCTGCCTTGTCGAGGCACTTGTGAAGCAACTCCGCGAGTCTGAAGACATTTCCGCAGAGGTCAGGTCGTCAGGGATTGAATGCAGATGCAGAGAGGGCTCGGCTAGGCATGTGCTGGTGTCCGTGCCCTTCCGACCATGTCAACAGGACAAAAAGGGCGAGGACTTCGAGCTGCTTGCGAGACACTTGCAGCGTGTCATGCAGACGCAGCACCCTGGCCCATTCAAGCACCAGGCAAAAAAAACTCCAACATATCTGCGAGCCTGTTTTCTGTCCAAGTGCAAGGTATGATGACATGAATGGAAGAGCGAAGAAAGACTAAGAGCCGTGTCTGCCCTGTTGAAGAAGGTCCGCACATGCGCGACCATGTGCACCTTTTTTTACGAACCGTTATCCTGTAAATCAGGGGCTGATCGATTGCAGTCGGTGAGGACTGATTGCATGGCAAGAGGCAAGAAGTAGTCGGCACAGGCTGCAAAGCAGCCGTTTGTGCAAATGGATTGTGTCCCTGATCCGAGAAAGCGCTGGCCGGTCAATGGCATCCTGCAAATACGTTATCGCTGCACTCGTGTCTTCCTACACAGCACGCAGCCGAGGTTTACAATTCTGCAGCTGCTGCAGCGGCTTACAGCCAGGCAGACATAGGGCCGCAACAAGGGTGGCGCAGTGCCGCATGCGTGCAGGCCGCCCAACAGCAGGCGGTCGTCCAACAAGCCGCCCAGCAGGCGGTCGTCCAGCAGGCGGCAGCCCAACAGGTGGCAGCCCAGCAGGTGGCAGCCCAGCAGGCGCAGGAGGCACAAGCCAGGCACTGAGACGGGGTGGCCGGCGGAGTCCGGGATCAGGGGTTCGTAAGTAAGTGCACGGGCATAGGACGTGCTGCCGTCGAAAAGGAAATGAATGATCTTGAGGCATTGCCCATCCTGAAGTGTCGAAACAGCGTGAAATAGACCTTGGGAATTTGTGTTCTGCGGGTTTGCAGCGTAGAGTAGCCATAGTAGAATGGACGAACCAGGTCTATGCAGAGCGCCAGCAGACATTTGACCACACAGGCTGTGAAGGCTCCGACAGCTGTGTCTTTTATGTGCTTGACCTCTGTGGTAGCCTTTGGTCCGGTTCATTTTGCAAACGAGCTCATGGCAGGTAGCTATGCCGATTCTCCGGCCGCCCAGGACGGATTGGCAGCAAAAGGTTGCCTTGTCAATCTTCTCTCGTGGTTGGTGTGCATAAAGTGCATACGCCCGAGGATCTTGCAGAAGAGGATGTTGAGGGAGCGGAGGAAAACATTCAGCAGGCACCAGATAGACGCACCTTCTGAGAATGCTGCGGCATTTGGCAGAAGAAGGCGCTGGCTTAGCAAACCTTGCTTCCCTCTGTTGACGAGGTGGTGGGCAAGGAGCCTCCACTTTCGATTCGTTTTGCCTTCTGGTCTGGGCCCGTGATGTGTGTGTTTGTGTGTTTGCCAGGTAGTTGCTGAGGCTTCAAGGGTGGTTGCATTCTACCGTTGATCAGCAGAAGCCTCGCAGGAGGGCAGGTCGAGGTTGGTGGAGAATCTTGCAGGAAAGCCCCACATATATCCATATGCTTTCCCAGTGTGAGTCGAAGTGGTGCCGGATTCGGATTCGCAACTAGTTTTGGCTCCACGCGCCAAACCACGGGCGATGTGGCCTGCGCGGCATGGTGGCGCGCAAGGTGCCTGTGCAAACTTCCGGCTGCGTTGGAGTGAAGGAGGAGTACTATAAGCGGCAATAGGTGTCACGTCGGTCATATCTTTGTGTCTCTCCCTCGCTGTGTCTTTCGGAACCTACGGTGGCTTGCAGGTGGATGCCAGCGAGGACGAGTCTGAGGAGGTACAGGAGCCGCGGTCGGTCTGGGATTTTGCTAGAAATCATACCAGCCACGAGTCGCCCCTGTCAAGGAACATCTGAAAGATGCCGTGGAGGGCACGTTGCGGCTAAAGCGTTTGCTGAGCCAGGACTCTGAGGCAGCTGGGGGAGTGCATGATCTGTAAGCTTGATTCAGAATGCGAAGCCTGGTGGTCTTGAAGTGCAATCGTGATGATGCAGGCACCTGCTTCTGAAGTGTTGGAGCTCAGGATGGATTCGCGAAGAAGAAGCGGGCCATGGAAAGCAGCATCGACGTCGACCGCCGCCATAGGATTGACGAGTTGTTGGAGCAACTTGGCAAGCAACGTCAATATCCTTGCAGCGTTGGGTTTTGAGTGGTCTGCATGTGCTCTGCTCAGGAAGTGGGATAGGCGGGCATCTGAGCAAGAAGTCTTGGGCTGATGCCGCGCCATCGGGATCCGAGCTGAGGTTGGACGACAGGGTGATGTTGCACGTCCTTGAAGGGTTAGAAACCCGGGAACTCGAGTACTTGGCGAACTCGTCCTTCGTGCCTGATGAGTTCAACTGGAGGAGCTCAGGGGCGTGTACCGGCCTTTTGCCCTGAGCAGAGTTCGCGCCCACGTCGAGGAATATCCCAGCTGACCAAGTGGCGACCCAGGTCGCCATGTGTCTGGGCCCCCAGCCGCCCATGGCTGCCTGGCCTGGCCTTGCGGTCCTTGCGCCTTGCTGACCAAGGGCTGGAGGGCCAGACGTTGGGTGGCGGTCCGCTCGACGTGCCGCTCGGACCTTGTATAGTGTATAGACTGTATAGAGCGACTGCTGCTTTGTGAGATGAGCCATGCCAGTGCCAGGCTCCTCACTTTCCGAGACAAGTGGAAACTGGGTCTGGATGCAGATAGCCTGAGCCCCGAGCCTCCTTCGCTCAGAGCAGCCAGACGCCTGTGCAAGTCTCGAGATTGCAATGCTCAGGCGTCCTTCGAACACTGAGCCACAAGGACTAGTACTTCATAGAATGCCGGGTTTCCACCGCGATCAGCTATATCCGCCCCTGCAGGATTTGCGCTACGTGATGGATCACTACGATGGCACGCAGAACATTGGGAAGCTGGTTGCGGAGGCCGTCTGAAGCTGTCGATGCCGTTTTGCTGTCTCTTGGGGTAGATATGCTTACGGCTAATAGGCCTCAATCATGAGACACAAGATAGACGGACAACAGACAAGATAGACAGAGAAACAGAGACAGGCAGGCAGGCAGGGAGGCAGACAGACAGACAGACAGACAGGCAGGCACGCAGACACACAGACGCAGACAGACAGAGACGTGCGGACACGGAGACTCGCGCACACACACACACACACACACACATGCGCGCGCTCAGGTGAGATTGAAATTTTGGTACCAAGTATGCAAGACGTATAGAATGGCACACCAAAACTGGATTAGATGATCCGCCACAGGGGTATGGTTTCAGCTCCCTACAACAGACTCCGAGGAGTGATGCAGCACGAAAAATAAGCTGAAGGATTCACGAAGATGGTGAGTCTCCCCAGCTGGCGGCGCAGGGACCCAGGACGGATACATGCAGGTATGTGTGTCTGGGGTGTCGGGGAGAGCTTCGTTGGACGGAGCTCCCCTGCACCCTTCTGTCCCCCTGCTTCAGAAAGAGAAGTGACTCTTTTGGTTCATGAACTAGAGCGGTACGTACACACACACACACACACACCTGCGAAGCTTCAGAGGCTTGAGCTTGGGATCTATTCTAGTGCTATTCGGGATCGGCCGGCATCGGCCGGTTGGCGGCGGGGTTTACTCATGCTCGCTTGTAGGGTCTGACCAAGGTCTTCTCTTTGCATGAGTCTAGGAGCATGGGATGTCTGAGAGGCTCGGAGCGGGGTCGTTTCCGACATGATGATGTGGGTTTCTACATGACTAAAGATCCCTGATGCCTTCAATAGCAGTGACACATTGTCCTCCCAAGGCATGCCGTTCAGTTCAACTGATCTAAGCTCATGAGAAAAAAAGAGGAAGACTTTCTTGCATCCTGTTTGTCGCGGTATTGGTCTCCTTCTGAATCCTCCGGCCGGCTGAGCCCCCCCGAAAGCGCTCCGCTGCAGGCGAAGAAGTCGCCTCCGCTGGAGGGGCGGACTGAAGGCTGCATGCCAGGCCCGAGCCGCATTCAGTACAAGTACAAGTATGCTGAGATCCGAGCATGAACACCCTGCCCCTGCGCCTCCAAGGGATGGCTTCCCAATGCACCTTCAGTATTCCCTGCGCCTGCGTTGTGCTTTGCACGAGCATGGAGTTGTTGCCAAGATGCGCCTGGATTGGCTGCAATCGGCCGCTTCCACCGGCTTGAGCTCATTGATCCAACTGCAGATGCTGCGGAGACTCGGAATAAAAGAAGATAGTCTGTATCTGCTGATTTTTGCGAAGGCTTAAGGGATGATAGCTGTGGAGCTAGTCACCGTCCAAAAAATGAGGTATTCGGGGATGCCAACTTGAGCTTTGCGCGGCTCTGCTTCATTGGCTGGCAGCAAATCTGCTACCTTTTGTCTGTGCTGCCTCATGAATCTGCGCAGGTTAAATTTGGCGAGACACCGCAAGGTTCTGGGCCATCGGCTTAGACAGCAACTATGAGTTCATTCCACATGCGTTTCTGGCTTCAGCCTGGGACTCCGTGGCACGGGTGGCACCATCTACTTGGCAGCTCGGCTTCGCAGTGCTTGCCGCTGCAGGCCATGTTGGCCGCGTCATCGCGACCACCTTCGAGTCTCTGGAGACTCTTCGGGAGCGCTATGAGGACTGCCTCTTGAAAATACACGAGCATCGCGAAGTAGCACGGAGGCCTGGTGTTTTGAGTGGAGGAAATAGATGAAACCATCAAGACGCTCGAGGACCCTTGACTCAGTGCATTAGGCCATCTGGTCGGTAATCTGTACACGACCATGCAAGTGAGATGTAGGCATCTGGTACCTGTAGCGAAAGCAACTGCTTTGCAGTGCTTCCACCGATTTGCTTCATTGTGTGCATCGAGCTGACAACGCGACTCGTTGTTGGCCAGGAGCATTACGCCGACGTGCACCATGAAATCGATTGCACTCGCATCGCCATGAATCCAAAGTTCAAGGGTCTGGAGGCAGGGTCGCTTGCCTTGAGAGAGCCGCTTTGACTGAAGTTCCGTGAGGGAACCATCGGGGCAGTGTATTACAACTTCCCACATGCAGGCCAGGATGTGTGGCGAGCACCAAGTGAGCACAGTCGTGCTGGTGCTGTATGCACGTGAGGAGCTGTGGGTGGCTTTTTCGACGGCCACCCAGTCGTCAATTGGCGTCATGACGCCAGACTGCAGACATCGTAGCCATCGACGGACGACTATGATGAAGCATGTGCCCAAACGGAGCTACTTTCCTGCCCTCAGGAAAACTTGATGAGATTATTCTTTCGAGCATTGCGATCCTTCATGAAAGTGGGTGGCTTGGTGAAGGCCTTGGGGTCTGGAGACTTCCCAGAAAGTACATGTGGCATGCGTCATGCAAGCTTTCTGTGTTGCTGATGCTGGTAGTTGCGTAGTTGCGTGGTCGGCTTGCCGTTTCGTTGCCAAATGTTTGTCCTTCAGAGCAAAGCTCGCTTTCAGGGGCGTTGAGACATGTATCACTCGCCAGGTTGCCTCGAACATGGGAGCGGTGGGTGTCCGATTCTCGACGCTCGTCTTCAAGGGTGGACGATCACGTCATCCGATGTCCAAAACAGATGCCCCAAGCCCGGGAAGTTAGATTCATGTATTGGGCAACGTTGAGCTTAACCTGTGCCTGTCAAGTTCCTTTGGCTGTTAGACAAGCTTCTGGGCTTGTCGAGCCTGCCAGGTATAGAGGTGGCTTCAAACACACCGTGGAATGCGCATAGGAAAGAAGAGCCCCATGTCATGATGGTGAAAAAATCTCTACGTCTACATTACATAGGATCTTCACCAGTTCAGGCGCCCTTAGCGTGTGGAGTCCTTTCTGTTCCTGCCCGTCTTCTGAGATACATTACCTTTGCAGCGAAAGAGAATGAGTTTGATCATGTCAGCGGCCGAGATGTGTGCAGACGGGGTGTGTAGCGTGGCTGGGATGTCACAGGTCGAATGGCGGCCAGATTCCCGCATTGCGTCTTAAGCGATCACAGTGAACGGCTCCAGCAGAGACAGAAGCCAGAACTGATGGCAGTAGCCCAGCAGTTTTGTCACAAGCCCCCCAATTAAGCACCAACAAGTCGAACTTCGTATGCCCTTCTCCGTCCTTGCCAGCAACCGCACCAATGGCATGGCCTCCGTTCCAGTTTATTCGCTTTCCGGGGAGCTTCTGGCCAACGTTTCCATTTTCGACGCTTGGTGGCAGCTTTTGTTGACAGCACTCGCAGGAAGAAAAGCAGTCGGGTGCACGGTGGACCTAGAATGCTTTGCAGGAGGGTGACAAAGTAGCATCCATCCACCAGCAGCTCTCCGTCCCCTCCCTGCGGCTGGTGCTTCCTGGCTACATACTGGTACCTCACGGCATGCTTCCCGGTGTTTCGAGAGCGAGCAGGCCGCGTAGCTCGGCAGGTCAAGCTAAGCCTCTAAGCTTCCCCCGTGATGCTTGCGCAAGCGACGGGCCTGTCAAAGCACCTTGCCGAAGCTCAGGCTGCAAGGGCAGGAGCTGTCAGTGGAAGACGAGGTGCCCGTGATGCGTAAAGAGTGTCTGTCGTCCCCCGCACCAGACGATCTGTTCGTCCAAGTCATCATGGCACAGAGTAGCGATGTTCGAGACTGCAGGTCTCCGCCGCTGGCCTGCTTGTGCCAGGGGTTGAGCTGACGGCAGTGGCGCAGGCCGGACGCAGCGGCTGCTTCGAGGCTGGTCCGGAGTCGGGGAAAGCCAGTCATGCCGACCGAATCAAGCCCGCAATTTCTGAGAGTCAAGAAGGTATAGTAATGTACCGAAACAAGGCTCTCTCATTTTACTGAGGCACATGCTCGCCCCACATTGCCAAGCCTCCAGCCATGAGCTCTCAGCTGGTTGGTTCTTAGTTCACATCCCAGACTGTCCACTGCAAGGCAGGCTGTGCGAACTGACGCGGGCTGATGTAGTTAGGGCCTATGCCAATGCCAGGTCGAAAACCTTTGGCCTCCTACAGTCAGGGCGTTTTTCTTGATAGCGTAAAGAGCGCTTCGGCCAATACTTCCGGCCGCTACTGCAGGATGCAGTGACTATGACTAGGGGTGTTTCTGCAGGCGGGTAGAGCAGAACAAGCTTCAGGAACACTTCATGGGGAGCACACTATCACTGGGTCAATCGGGGCCTGTTGGCCCAAGTGATCTGACTAACCTGCAGGCGGCGAGAGTGCTGACCTCTTCGAAAGATTCAACGGCCAAGATTTTCGATCTGGAGACAGGTGCTCTTCCACCAGAAAACAGAGCATTGGTGTTGCGGTACGTGCGAGTCTCTTGATCTGTGGCCTACACCAGGCACATGCCTGCACTCATTCAACGAAAACTTCGACGATTTTGGTTATAATGACATCGTCTCAGCGGACGTCTCCGAAACTCGGTTAGCCTAGTCACTTGTGACTATGAGCAGGGCAGCGGCGTTTCGACTTCGGCATGGTCTACACAGCTAAGGAGACGGGGAGGATCTTTCTCTTGGCATGCGAAAATCTCGTGGTTTCGATGTACAAGTCGAGCACCGGAGAGCCAATCTATCGTCTGAAGCTCGAGGAGCAGCATGAGGCCCAACCTAGGACCGTTCATTGTTACATGCTATGGTTGGGTTGCTGGACCCGCACATGTTTCTCGTGTCGCCAGGGCCTTGTGAGTGCGGCGTTGTCACCGGATGCCACTACCGTGCTGCTAGTGGATGCCAAAGGGGACGTGCTTTTGGTGGATTGGGCGCAAGAGAAGGCACCACGTGCCCTGGCCGCGTGCCGCAGACGCATGGAGACCCAGGGCATTGTGTTTCACGGACTGCTCGCCGGTATCGAGCTGCGTGCCAAGAGAGTCAGGCTTGGGCATGTCTTGCAAGCGAATTTCTCGCCAAACGGTGCCAAGGCCGACCGTCTGGTTGCAGATTCGCTTGAACATAGGGCAGATGGGAAAACTCGTGCCGACAGGTCGTTGTCGCCTTCAAAGAGCACGTGGCACAGGTATTCGATGCGAAGTCAGGGCAGAGCGCCCAGCTTTTCAAAGGCCACATGGGTCATGTTCTGGTGGCGACTGGGCTGCAGCTGAACTCCGGAATCACACAGGCCAAGATCAAAGAGCCACTTAACAAGGGCAAGCACGAAGGAAGCCGCTAGCCAATCATGCTCAGTAAAGGCACGGCCGCTTTCATCGCCATCTTCGGCATCACCACCATCAGCATCAGCACTGCTCTATCAAAACCATAAAAACGCTAACTGCATCGGCTCCAGCGACATCAGCAGTGGCTAAGGCGAGGTTTTCTCCCGACATGATGAGACTCGGATTGCTAGTCTCGTGTGTGTGTGTGTGTGGGTGTTTGCAAATTTTCGGTAACGGTGGCTGTACCACACAGTGGCATGGCCGTGCGCCTGTGTTGCGTGATGCTTAGATGCACGTCGCTGTTGCTCGGCAGTTTAAGGACCGTTCTGACAACGTGCGCTGATGGTGTACTTCGGTTATTCGATGCGAGCACTTCTTGTCTCATCCGGGACTTCCGAAGGTGCATCCGGTGCACCAGTCTTGGAGCGCTGTGGCAGCATGATAGAAGTCAAGCGGTACACTTGTTGCGAGGCATGCAGGCCGCGCTCGCAGCTGTTGCTTCTCACCATGTGGAGAAAAGATCCTTGTGGCAGCAGACAGCGGCTTTGTCGCAAAGATCTTTGCAGTCTCCGATGGAAGGTGCACAAGGACAGGTCGAAGCATGCTTCTGCTTGTGGGTTCGACTTGGTGGATGTAGGATGCCATTAGGAAGTCTGACCTGCGCCATGCGTTCCGCGACGGCAGGACCTTCCCAGGACATACAGGCCAGGTGTCCAGGACTGCGAGTTCCACAATCCCGGCTTGGCATGTGCAGTACCTTGCAGGCCCGCTTTGGTCCGCCATCTTCTCCCCTGGAGGCCACGGCCCTGGAGCCGTCTGCAGTCGATGTAGGGTGGAGCCTGCAGAGAAGGCGATGCTGTCCTGACCTCGTCGGGCGACCGTGGAAACGGAGGAGTGCCTTCGAATCTTCAGTGGTCACGAGGACCTGAACAGATACGGCATCGCTTCAGGGTCTGTGTGGCATTTGCGGGGTCGTTGGGTTCTGCAATAGTCTGCCAGGAGCGGGTGCTTGCAGCTGTATTTCTGCCTGCTCCTGTCACAGACATCGTCGGGTCTGCGGAAACGGCTGACGACGAGGGACACGGACCCTCTCCAAAGAGTGAGGGTCTTGACCGCGAAGACAAACATCAGCTTTCACTCCCGGTCGGCATTCTTTAACTCATGGCTGTCCAGTTTGTAATCAGGTGTTTTGTGCAAGTCAAACGCTTAAGCTTATCTGGTTACCGACGCATGCTATTCTACTGCTGCCTGGGGGTCAACAACGAGGTGGAAACAGTCCCTTTCCTCCAATGGAATCTCCATCGATATGGCCGGGCGTATGGCGACAGGCCGGGTGAGAGCAATTCGGTTCTGCAAGCGGTGTCGACTTCCGAGCAGTTTTCTCGCAGCTCACATGTCCGCTCTCATCTCAGCTCTCGTCTCACGTTGTCCTCTCCTTGCGAAGGCGTGATTCCGGTCGCCGCCCTGGCAAGTCAGAGAACTACAACGCCCAACGGGCTGGGGCCCCAGAAGAGTTTCAGAGCATGCCGAACGATGCTTTGGTCCTTGCAAGACCCGGTGGGGTGGGAACTCTGAGGCGGACAGAGATATGGTCTACACCTTCAGATACACACCCAGTGGGAAGCAGCTTGGCCCGCCTGCCGGCTGCAATAATTTTCAAAAAAACTTGCCTCTGAAATCAGCTGCGTTCAGGCAGGGAATTCGATTACCGCCGACGCTCAGCACACTGGAAGAATGCCCCGACGGCCCCTTGAAAGCATGGTTTCGCTTGGGTCACATACCCTGTGAATCCCAAAGATGCGCCAGAGACAGTTCTTGTTCAGCCAGGACCCTTCTCCTGGCAACCGGTTGAGACAAAGAAGCAGCTGGAGCGGGGCTCAGCCTCGAGCTCCTGAGAACTTCCAGCCTCGGTGTGCTCAGCGCCTCCTTGGAAGCCATCTCAGAGGAAGCTTCAAGCAAAGCACAGGTACCGCTGGAGCTGTCGAAGTTCTCAGGGTGTCGAAGGCTCAAGGTGCCGACTCAGCAAAGCTGATCTGTGCACCAGGTGGCCGAAGCCGAGCACCCAGCAGAACAACCTTTCTAGATCTGTCTAGTATATTTAGTGCATGAGTGCATGAGAGAGTGAAGTTTCAGCTGCCGCATTCGTGAAATCGCCGGAGAGTCGTGTGGTGTAGCTGATATAGTTTTTCGGAGTGTAACGGTCTAACGGTGCATAAATCGGCAAGCTGCGATATGCAACCTGTGTGGCACTACCAGGTCGCTGCCGCATGAGACGTTTGCAACCCCAACTTAAACCATGCATTTTCTAAACTCGGGGAAGGACGATCCGCGTTCTGCGCAATGATGCTGCGACATGTCGAGCCGGCAGCCTAACGACTCGGCGCTGGCTGCTTCGGAAGAGACCCAGCTCAAACTGTGTTGGCATGCGGATACTTTTGTGCGCACGCTTCTGTGGATTGCTCTGCGGTGTCCACCAATGATTTTTCAGCTTGCCTCGTGGTGACTGTACCTTGTGCCAATGTCGTGATACAGACTTGGCAGAACCCTTGTTTGGCTGACTGTTATAGGCTATAGGATTTTCTTGGCGTGTACTGCTCAGGAAGATGCAGCCAAAAACATTGCATCCTGACTGCACTGTAGAATGTAGAAAATCTACTGGTCGTCTGCATGGCTCAACCTGTGCAGCTCGGCAAGTTGCCTACGAGACGGTGCCACTTGGATTTTTGGCCGCTAGCAAACATCCCTGTCTGAGCAGGAGCGCCCGGCCGCTCGCGCGTTGAAGAAGAGTGCCTCTGCACCCGCACCGACTGCGCCGACTGCGCTGGTGAAACGAAGCGGCCGGAATCGATGGACGCCACTGTTTCGAGATCCAACTTTCGGTGGAAGCATTGGCCACAGCGGAGACTACAGAAAGGCTAGGGGATCGTTTTCCTCCAAGAGAATTCAGTGGAGCCTAGATGGGCAGGCGAAGCCCACCCTGAAGCAGTCACGCTTTGTCTTCGAGGATGAGGCCTGGGAGCCAGCACAGCAGGCTGCTGTGCTTTGGGTCAGCTGACAAGAGCAGCTTTGCACTCGTCAGGCTGAGGTACTCTTGACCAATGATGGTCGGCAAAGGCTCCGCAACAAGCCCCGATTGAAACGATGACGACACTTCCCCGTCAGGACTGGTGAGGCCATGCCCGACCGACTTCAGGCAGTTTGGAAAATCGTGGTGCAGGACGAAGAAGCACCTCGGTGATGAAGCCTGGTAGTTCTTGACAGCATGTTGTCAGACTCCGCCAAAGCTGCTGAGTTAATCCCCGAGGAGAAGCCAGACTCGCCGCCCACACCCTCCTTGTTGGATGTCTTCGCTCCACCAGACTCGGCACTTCCGAGAATCGATGCATCAAGCCGCGACCTCAGACGTAAACACGTGGCAATTCCGCATTTTGCCTCAGCTGCACACCATCTCTTATTCAGTGATCGATTGTGCATGTCGGGCGGCTGGAAGCACTGGACCAAGCATGAGTCGCTTAGTAGTTTAGTATCAGCAACAACTCAAAACAGGTAGCCAGTTGTTCCATCGTGTTGAGCCTACACTGGGACTCTTGCTCAGCTTCTCCGAAGCCAGTATGGCTAGAAATGGCAGTGTCTCCAGTGGCTCCGCCGGCAGCAGCTTGCCTGCTAGAGCTCGCCAACGAGCTTCAACGTTCTGAACAAGGGTGCGAAGGGGTTGTTATCGACGCTCGCAACAAAGTGCAGCGTACTCTGGCCATATGTTGGGAGGGCCGCCCGCTGCCCCGTGCATGTTTGGCTTTGAGAAACTTCCTGAGCGAATCCGCGCTCAGCGCGGACGTGGAAGTGAAGCTCGTGAAGCCAAACGGCGAAAGCGGCTTCGTTGGCATGCTTTTGCGAAAGGGTGTCCCGGAAGCCATGGTAAAGTATCGTGGGGAGCTCCCTGGTATACCGTTTCGCGAGGAGTGTAATTACGTCTTCGCCGAGTGGCTTGGCTTCAGTGATGTGGTGGCCCCGTGTATAGCAGTGGACTTGCCATTGACACTCGCCGACTTTTCCAGTCTCAGCGTCCTGGATGTGCTACGAGAGCACACGGCTGCATGGGTACATGAGAAGGAGCAGAACTGCAAGACATGGCCCGCCAACATGTGGGTCACGATGGAGAAGTGCATTCTCATTGGAGAGACCGAGCACGCACCTACTACGCCTGCTTCTCGCCTAGCTAACTTTTTCGGATCCGTTGATCTTCTGCAGGCGTACGCTGCAACACCCAGTGGGCCAAGCTGTGGTGTAGATGCCCTTCTCAGAGACACCTATACTCGGCAAGAGCCCACGGATGCCGACTTTTTCAGGCTTGTATCATGCTTGGATGTGCAGCACATACATCGACTTTGCATGTTGGCATGCATAACACTGCAGCGTGACGGAGGCCCGTCGAATTTGATGGTGAGGCAGAAGGTGGCCGGCGAGGCTGATGCCTCTTTCGAGCTTGTAAGTATTGACTCGACACGAGTCCTTAATGGCTTTCCCAGCGATGCGTTGCTTCTTTTCGACGACAGTGACGGCACGATCGGCCAGTTCACCTATTGGTTCCCGGCCTGTGTTGAATTGCCCCAGGCTGCCGAGATCCTGCATCCGTCCGTCGCATCTGCGTTGAGGTCACTCGATGCCAGCACAGTGGAATGCTTCCTTGAGCAGCTCCTCAGCGTGCCTGGTGCCTCCTTGGCACGAAGCAGATCCGAAGCGAAAGCAGCCTCCAACAGGTTGAGGCACTTGCAGAGCCTGCTAGAGGAGCAGGAGCTCACAGCCCGTGACCTTTGCTTTCGGGTAGTGCCTACCTGGGAGGCAGACTACTGGGCACCTGGTCGCAGGGAGTTGATCCCCTTCCATGACCTGGGAGTGCATCTTCACGAGGGCGGCAGCGCGCAGGAATGGGAAGAGAAGTGCCGCTGGCCATATGGCAGCCAACATGGCAGCGGCGGCGACGAGACGCAAGGTCGCCGCCCGACTGTCAACGACTTCTTCTGATCTCACCTGGCTGGGCTTCTATCGATTGAAAGCGTGAGTCCGGGTTGTCGACGCGGAAAGACGAAAAAGAATCAGCAGGACTTGACATGCCGACAGGCACACCTGGACGAACAGAGGGTGAGAGCTTAACATCCACAATGGCTTGGGTTTGATGTGAGGCCCCGAAACTGCCCACCACTGCCTCACTTTCCCTCCACCCTTGGAATGGGGCATTTTAGTGCAGCTAGGCACCCTCGAAGCTCGTGAAAGCCACCAGGGTCTCTTCAAACTGCTCCAGCAGGATGACGTGACGGTGTCCCTGATGAGACTCTGGCCTCTGCACTGAACTCTCTAGCGACATGCTCGCCCTATCAAACTGACAGACCCCCGTCGCTTGCGATGTTAAATTGCTGTGGCACGGTTGTTGGCAGAGCAACTGTCCGAACCGGGGCGCTGTGAGACAAAGACTCATAAACGCGGATCGGATTTTCCCAGCTTTGGAGACACTGTTCACTGGGAGCTTAGAGTTTCAGATGTGTCTCTTGTTGAATGATTTTGGGGTCAGGCGCATCAACCGTTCCGGCAGCAAACAGTTTTCAGAGTTTCGCTTTGCACTTGCAGGGCGTGCGCGGCAGCAACCGGTCATGTTCCCGATATAACAACAGACGATTGGAATAGATCACCTAACCGACGCGCAGGTGCTGTGCATGACTTCAGATACTCACAATCACCACCGCAACCAGCACTCGTGCCTGCTAAGAGCTTTGCAAGGCTTACATGCTTAAAGCCTGAAAGCCCATCGTTTGAGCATGCGAACTAACGAGCGGTGGCAATCCCGAGGTGCTCGAAAGATCAGCCGCCTCAGCACCGGCAGCGCCTTCAGCAACATTTCCTCCATGCCGGGACCTGATGAGACTTATGCTGTGAGCGACGTCATTTCAAGCACTGCCAGCTTCTGCGGCATGGGCCCAACAAAGGTCACGACAGAGCTCCGCTGCAGCCGTCCCGCAGCTAGTGTCGAGGCCGAAATGTCTGTGCTCCTACTTGAGAGAAGCAATCGAGGTTCTCAGCCTTGAGCTCGTCAGGACGGCATCGGACGATCCGGTCGCGCACCGCCCTTCACAGGACTCTCGAACGTCCTCCCTTGTGGACTCCAAGGAATCAAAGGGCTCTGGCTCAGTCCGGACATCTTCGAAGCTATCCAGGGACTCTCACCCTCGTGCTCCGAGACTGCTTCGTGACATCGTTCGTCCCACGACGCCCATGGAGTCGGACTTGATCGCGCTCGGAAGCGAGGCGGCCCGATGGTGAGAGAGGGACGGAGTGAGAGAGACTGTGTGTGTGAGGGCGTGCCTACGTACCGGTGCGAAAACATCTTACTATACTGCCCGCAACTTTACGGATGGAGCGGTTGTTTCTGCATCCTTGATGGAAACAAGGGGATAGCAGACAAAAGCACGCATCGACCAAGTCCATGTACTCTCTGCAATCTTATGTGCGGGTGCATCATACTTCCAAGCTCTCCAACGCCGGTCAATTTTGCTGGTGGTCCGAAAGTCCTGGAATGCATGCCCGGCAGATTGAGAATGAGAGAGGGGCAAGGTGTCACGACGCCATCAGAAGCCAATACCCACTGCTCATACTCAAGACCCAAAAAGGCAATACACTTCTGACACTTGTTTGCTAGGACGCTAGGAGATCCTGTCCGAAACCGCCTCAGGGCTATTTTCGGGACAGGTCTTTTGAGCAGCTATTCGCCTATTCGCACCATAGGTTAAGTCCCTTGACTGGCGGGACGACGCGACCTCGTCTGTACTGAGCGTTCCCGTCCCCTCGCGGATAGCTAGTCCTCTCTTGTCAGGTGGATCTGGCGTCAATTCATGTGTAGGTTCAGGCAGTATCCGTAGCCCCTACACTCAACAGAAAGAAAGATAACGGGAGATAGAGAGAGCGCAGAAACACGTCCTGTTCTCCGAAACCCAGCCTCTCACCCAAGCAAGACAAGAACCAGGGCGCGGCTGCGTGTGCGAGGCTGCTTGTGCTTGACTGTGCTGAAGAAGCGCGTGCAAGGGAGCGCGGGTGGTGCCCGCTGCAGAGAGGGGCGGGAGGATTGCCGGCCTGCCGCTAGCAAAGCAGAGCGAAGAGCGCAGAGAGACAGAAAGAGAGCAGGATGGGCACTCACATCCCCGAAAGGGTTCGAAGCTCGCACTGTTGCGAACTATTGGGGTAGGCCTTCGGGCCAGCGGGTTTTTCCCCCCAAGCACGATGCCGATGGAGTGAGTGGGTGAGTGAATGGAGAACTCGAGTTCAAAGACCGTGCAGCAGCCCTTCTTGTCGAGAGGTTTCCGACGACAGCCAGGCAGGGGACGTTTTGCAAGCCACTTTCCCGCTATGTTACTGCTGTGCACCGCCAGGTGTCGCCAGCCACAAGTCCCTGGGCTTCCGAAGACTTGACGTCCCTTAGTGGGCTGTCGCCAAAGGGAACGCCACAAGGATCGCCAAAAGGCTCCTCCAAGCTCGCAAAGCTGGGCAGTCTGAGCAGCCTATCGCCGAAACCACAAGCTCGTGGACTGCCGTCCGAATCCAAGCTATCGTTGCCAAGGACAGATTCTAGGCTGATGAGGGACAAAGAAGAGCAGAGATCCCCCGCGAGCACTGGCGATCTCAGAGGCAAGTCACCCCGAGCTGAGAAGACCTTGCTCCAGATGGAGCTGCAGCTCAAGAGCGACTCGAAGTCGCACAAGGCTTTGCCTGGCATTCACAGGAAGCCCTCCCGCGAAGCATCGGGCGAGCTGCCCGGATCCCGTCCTCAGTCCCGGGCGGCATCGAAGCAGTCTGAGAGCCTCGATGGAATGCTCGCGGAAAGGAGGACCCCGTCCAAGGGTGTTCTAGAGCCGTCTGCGGGCAACCTCCTTCCAAAGCAGACGATGAAGAGCCAGCAGGCCGCCGAAGCAGAACGCATTAGCATGAGTACGTCAGAGAGTCAAGGTGAGTTAAGGCGAAGGCCACGGTCAAGGTCGAGGAAAGCAGGAGCAGAAAATAAGAGAAGCAAGTGACACAAGCTAAGGAGGTCAATCAATCTTAGGTAATCGTTGGCGCACTTTGCAAAGTAAGAAACTGTTAAGCAAGCAGCTGCCGGAAAGGTTTCATCATGCATGAACGTAAACATGTAGAGCTGTGAGAGAAGTGGGCCAGTTGGTTGGTTGGTTGGTTAGTTTGTGGTGTGTGTATGCGTGTCTTTTCTTTTTTTTTTTTGTGTGTGTGTGTGTGCGAAGCTCCACTAATTAAGCTCCGGCCAGCGACATTCCGCATGTGATCAGGATATCGCGATGGATGCATGTTGAAGCAGGTGCAGTAGACAACTTTCAGGTGCGCCATTGATGCATGCGGCGTTGCTTGCATATGTGGGGCACCGCACTCCTAGATTCTAGTGTATCCCGCCTGAAGCTCGGGTGTTCAGATCGTTGCGCGCGCGCACGCAAGATTTCATTTGTGTGGTCGCCGCAACCTGCTGTTATGATAGGTCTTGCGTAAGCTTGTACTGTCTCTTCGCTCTACATTATATTGGAAGTATGAAGTATGTGCTCGATGATGATGGCCACTACAGCCACTCATCTACACATCCATCCATTCCTTCTTCCATTCTATCCATTCCATCCGTTTTCAGTGTTTCCATTGATTCATCCATGCATCCATTCATGGATGCATGCACACACATGCACGCGTATGTGCGCATATATATATATATATGTGTGTGTGTGTATATATCTACATATACATACATGTGCATACAGTTTTTATTATGCATACAGATACATCTGTCTCTCGCTCTCGCTCTCGCTCTC